AAGCCACTGAGCCACCCAGCCGCCCCATTTTAACGTACTCTTGCCTCATCCCCCTCACTCTCCTCTGGCTCAGCAGCAGTCAGGAAGATGGCAGCCCACACCCCTGGTGCGAGTTTCTGGTGCTGGAAGGAGCAGAGCATTCTCCAAAGAATTTGGTTGCCTGTTTTGACCAACATGGGTGGCTTCCTGAGGGACTAACACAAAGGGTTTGCCTTTATTTCACTTAACTTGGAATCTCATGGCAGAGAAGTGGCTATGGTACTTCTGTTGAAAACACCTAAAGGCAAAAGAACCAGATGGTGCCAGTTGGAACAAAGGTTATCAGTTGGGGCAAATAGTACAAATGTGAAAAAGCCTGGCAGAAAAAGCTGGGCAGTGAGATACTTTGGGGAATGAATAAGAGTTCTGAAAAGCTTCCACATATCCGGGGAAATCTAGAAAGGCACGCACGTGCCATGGGCAGGATGCGTGCTCAGAAAAGACCCAAAAGCCCTAAACTCTCACCTCTGGCTGACCGTCAAACCCTGTGTAAGCAGGATGCAAAGGCAAAGGCAGAGTTGTAAACTTCAGGCTGAGGGATGAAAGTGTCTTCCAACACAGACACAGCCTCAAGCTGCAGAGACTGGGAATTTTTTTGTTTGTTTGTTTAATCCAAGCATTTAAGAAAATTTCTATTAAATCATTAGCTGACCATTAAGCTAACAGAACAGAGACTTCAGTGACCACACACAATAGCAAAAACAGTTTAAATGAGTAACTATGACTGTAGTAAGCTGTAACAATAAAGCCTGAGGAAAGGGGAGAATCCGGTTTCCAGAGGTATCACAGTATGATATTCAAAATAGCCAGTTTTCATAAAAAATTACGAGGCCATGCAAAGAAATAACAAAGTACGGTCCATTCACAAGATAAAAAGAAATGAACAGAAACCATCCCAGAGAAAGCCCAGACACTGGACTTAAGAGACAGACACTTTATAGCAACTGTCTTAAATATGCTCAGAGAGCTAAAGCGAACTATGGACAAAGAACCAAAGGAAATCAGAATGCTGATTCACCAAATAGAAATTATCAAGAATGAGACAGGAACTGGAATGCCTAAAAAGAAACTCTGGAGCTGAAGGGTGCCTGGGTGGCACAGTCAGTTAAGTGTCTGCCTTTGGCTCAGGTCATGATCCCAGGGTCCTAGGGTGGAGTCCCCATGGGGCTCCCTGCTCAGTGGGGAGCCTGCTTCTCCCTTTCTCTCTGCCCCTCCCCCCATGCTTGTGTGTACTCTCTTCTCTCTCTCTCACAGATGAATAAAATCTTAAAAAAAAAAAAAAAAGAAAAAACGTCGCGGGAGCTGAAAAGTGTTAACAACGGAAATGAAAAATTAGAAGATTTTAAGGGCAGAAGAATCTGTGAACTCAAAGATAAGCCAACTGAGATGATCAGTCTGAGGAACAGAAAGAAGAAAGAATAAAGAAACATGAGCAGTCTATGAGACCTGTGACACATCATTAAGCAAACCATCATAGGCTTAATGGGAATCTCAGAGGGAGGAAAGAGAAAGGAGAAGAAAGACTATGTAAAGACAAAAACTCCTCAAATTTGATGGAAGGCATGACAGAAAAAACTGTCAATGGAGAATTCTATATATAGCAAAAGTACTTTCAAAAGTAGAGGAATTAAGACACTTTTAGATAAACAAAAGACAAGGGAGTTTGTTGTTAGTTGACCTGTTCTACAAGAAATTTTAAGGGAGTCCTTTAGGCTGAAATGAAAGGATATCAGATAATGATGTGAAGCCATACAAAGAAATAAAAAACACCAAAAAAGCTAACCACATATGTAAATATGAAAGCCAATATTGTATTTCCAGTTTCTAATTCTCCTTTTTCCCTCCTGTAAGATTTTAAAGACAAATGCATAAAGTGGTAATTAGAAATTCCTGCCAATGGGCACACACAGTATAAAGACTTAATTTCTGACAATTAGACAAGCAGGAGGGATGGTGCTGTACAGGAGCAGGGTTTAATATACAACAGAAGCTCAGGCAGGGCTCCTGGGTGGCTCAGGTGGTTGAGCGATTGCCTTTGGCTCAGGTCATGATCTTAGAGTCCCAGGACTGAGTCCTGCGTAGGGCTCCCTGCTCAGCAGGGAGTCTGCTTCTCCCTCTGACACCCACCCCCCATGCTCACTCTCTCATTCTTTCTCTTTCAAATAAATAAATAAAATCTTAAAAAAAAAAAAAAAAAGCTGAGGCAGTATTGATTCAATTGATTCTAGATTTAAGATGTAATTCCCAGGGTAACCACTTAGAAAAAAAGCAATAAACAATATGGTTACCCTAACAAAGGAGACTTCAGTCTCACCTTTGTTATCTGCCTTGAGTCTTCTGGCTGGGTTTACTCTAGGAAGCAAGGTCTTCGAGCACTTCTTTAGTCTGGATCATGAGTTAAAAGGAGGACAGACTCTGCTACAGAAACTCAAGAAGGACTTGATAAGCGCACTAGCCTTTGCTCCCCCTCCCCCCACGGTGCACCAGGTTATGAAGAGGAAAACGTGTTTAACTATCAGAAATACCCAATTCTGAAAAAACTCAAAACACTGAAACAATGTAGGTAAACTTAGTGATCAAATAAGGTCTAAGTGTAAAACACTTATTTCACTTATTTCCTCTTGGCCATAAGCATGGTGGCTGCTTCTTTATAACCATGTGTAATCATTATAAAGCTTTAACCTAGAAACCTTTTGGAAAACTATTCCAAAAGATGGGAAGAGGAGCTGGTTTGCAAGTAGACTGCAGCACTAATTCAGGGCAAGAAGGAACACGACACTGAAGACGATGGCAGTCGGAAGCGCACACGTGCACCCGAGAAGCAGAGCGCACACGAGCACTCAGAAGGACAGCTGAACAGAAACCGTGACGCGAGCCCTGCACATTTCTGCATCAGCAACAATAACATTGCTAGGGTTAAGAGTCCAAAGGAGATTGCAGAGGTCTTTTAACTCCTCCCCCTGCTTCCTACCTCACTCTTAAATATGCTTCATACTCCGTGCACAGAGATTCCTCCAGTGCACTTGCTGGCTCACACTGCTCTCCGCTCACAACCAGGACTTCCTATCTGCTCCGAACTTACTCTCAGCACAGTCTAGTAGCCCTACCATTTCTGCATGTGCAGCAACACCCTCCTGTTCTGCCCCGGCCACCAATTTTTCCCTGTGTCTCAAACAGGCCCAGATACTATGCCTTAAGGGCTTTGCATTTCACATTTGCTGTGCCTAAAAGGAGTAAAATCTCAGATGCGGTCATACCTTGGAGATACCACAGGATCAGTTCCTGATCACCTCAATAAAGGGAGTATCATGATAAAGCAAGTCAAATGATTTTCATAAAATTGTATATAAAAGTTATGTTTATACTATACTGTAGTCCATTAAGTGTGCAATAGTATTATGTCTAAAAAATATGCATACTACAATTAAAAAACACTTTATATTGCTAAAAAATGCTAACCATCTAAGCTTTCAGTAAGCTGCAATTTTTTTTTTTTTTTAAATGAACTCTACATCCAACTGGGGCCTGAACTCAAAACCCTAAGATCAAGAGTCATATGCTCTACTGACTGAGCCAACCAGGTGTCCCATCTTTTTGCTGGTGGACGGTCTTGTCTGGCCGATAATGGCTGCTGACTGATTAGGATGGTGGTTACTGAATGTTGGAGGGGCTGTAGCAATTTCTTAAAATTAGACAGAGTGAAGTTTGCAACGTCGATTGACTCTTCTTTTCACAAATGATTTCTCTGTAGCATGTGATGCTGTTTGGATAGCATTTTACCCATAGTTGAACTTCTTTCAAACTCGGGAGTCAATCTTCTCAAATCTTGCTGGTGCTTTAACAACTAATTTACGTGATCTTCAAAATCCTTTGTTGTCATTTTAACAGTCTTCACAACCAATTTTACCATGAGTAGATTCCTTATCAAGAAACCACCGTCTTGGGTGCCTAGGTGGCTCAGATGGTTAAGCGTCTGCTCTCAGCTCAGGTCATGATCCCAGGGTCCTGGGACTGAGTCTTGCATTGGGCTCCCTGCTCTGAGGGGAGCCTGCTTTTCCCTCTGCCTCTCTCTCTCTCTCTGTCTCTCAAGAATGAATGAATGAATAAATAAATAAATAAATATATATATATAAAAATAAATAAAATCTTTGGGAAAAAAAAAAGGAAAAGAAACCACTGTTTTTGCTCATCAGTAAAAAGCAATTCCTCATCCATTAAAGTTTTATCATGAGAGTGTGGCATCTCAAATAATAATAAAGTCTGATGGGCGCCTGGCTGGCTCAGTGGGTTGAGCCTCTGCCTTCGGCTCAGGTCATGATCTCGGGGTCCTGGGATTGAGTCCCGCATTGGGCTCTCTGCTTGGTGGGGAGCCTGCTTCCCCCCTCTCCTGCCTACTTGTGATCTCTCTCTCTCTGTCAAATACATAAAATCTTTAAAAAAAGTAAAGTCTGAAATACTGTGAGAATTACCAAAATGTGACATAGAGATATGAAGTGAGCAAATGCTGTTAGAGAAATGGCACCAACAGACTTGCTTTTTTACAGGGTTGCCACAAACCTTCAATTTGTGAAAAAACAGCATTTTACTGCACCAAAGCAAAGTGCAATAAAACGACGGCATGTCTGTGTTCAGATGGTTTTCTTCCTCACTGACTTCAGGGCTTTGCTAACGTCACCTATCAGAAAGGCTTCTGGTGACCACTAAAACTAGACCTCCCCTCAACATGACTCTCTGTCCTCTTCTCCTCTGCCTGATTCTCATTCATAGCTCTAATTACTACCTGATGTCCTATAGCCTTAATTTATTTACTGATTCCCCAACCTCTGCCCCATTGTTAAGTCTCTAAGAGGGCAGAGATTCTGGTCTATTGATTGCTGTATACCTGGCACCTAGAACAGTGCCTAACACAGAAGTATTCAATCAGCTGTTGTAGAATTAAATGAAAAGGCATAAATACATACCCAGAATACATGTCATGGGGCAGGTTTCTTCCAGATTACTCAGAAATACTTCTTTTTTGTAGAACATTTTTGTGGGCTCATGTTCCGTCTCTTCTGGGTGAATGAAGATGGGGCCATAAAAATATGCAGCTCCATCTCGGACCCATACCTTTTCAATTCTTGGGGGAAAAATGGAGAAATTCCATTAAAATAGAATTCTGACCGGTTTCACTCTTGAAGGATTAATCTATTAAAAATTCTCTTAACTAAAAACTTAATGATATTTACTACTTGGAGTTTTGTAGACTATATATGATAGTTATATTATTATATGATATATTATTATATATTATTATATGATAATAAGACAATTTCCTTGACTCCCCCCATTCTGAGCACAGGAAAAGACATTTGGAAAGGGAGATACCATTGGCTATTCATCTGAGGGAAAAAACACACAATACCAAGGCATACGATTTAATAGTTTCAGCTAACCTCCAAGGTTTTTTTCCCCTGAAATGCTCATGATGAAAACAAAACTAAGCATCTGTCATTGGATTCATCAGCCGACGAAACACGCAAACTATCCATATTTGGGGTCAGCCCACATGAGTCACAGATATTTAAGGCAATGGTTCATGACCTTTTTGAGTGTCAAGGTGTAACAGCCCTTCAACCACTGAGAGTCTGATGAGAGATATTATCTCCCTATACAAAAGTAAAAATGCACATCTGACTGCTAAGTGTTAGGTATTATACCACTCCTCACAACTGCTCCCAGCAAGCTGGGATTATTAATGTCCCTATTGTCCTGTAGTTTCTTTTTTTTTTTTTTTTTAATTTATTTGACAGACAGAGATCACAAGTAGGCAGAGAGGCAGACAGAGAGAGAGGGGGAAGCAGGCTCCCCGCTGAGCAGAGAGCCCGATTCAGGGCTCAATCCCAGGACCCTGGGATCATGACCTGAGCCGAAGGCAGAGGCTTTAACCCACTGAGGCACCCAGGTGCCCCTGTCCTGTGGTTTCTGACATGAAGAAACCTCCTCATCTCAGTTCATGGTAACTCCACCCTTTCAGTTCCTCAGACCAACACACAGAAGTCACCCTCGACTCCTTTCTCTTTCTCGGACCCCACATCCCATTTATCAGGAATCCTATTAACTCCACATTTCACCACAGGATCTAACTACTGGCCTGAACCAGCAATCATGGTTGCCTGGGATATTGCAACAGCCTCCTAGCAGATCTCCTTGCTTCTCTTTGACCCTTTGAGTCTACTCTCAAAAACCAGTAGGCAGAGCAATCCTGCTAAGAACTAATTCAGATGTCATACCTATGCTTAAAAGAATCCAATGGGGGCACCTGGGTGGCTCAGTCAGTTAAGCGTCTGCCTTCAGCTCAGGTCATGATCCCAGGGTCCTGGGATGGAGCCACACATCGGGCTCCATGATCAGTGGGGAGTCAGCTTCTCCCTCTGCCTCTCGGCCCACTCAGGCTCTCTCTCTAATACAAAAATAAAATCTTTAAAATAAATAAATGAGTGAATGAATGAATCAATCCAATGGTACTCTCTTTAATTCAGTAAAAGCCCAAATGCCGACAATGGTCTCTCAGGTCCACATATATATGGCCCTCACTTCCTATCTACCTTAACGTACGGCTCACTTGTCCAGCAACAAACTATCCACATCTGGACAGGCCAGGCACACTTCTCTCTCAGGTCTTCATACTGGCTACTCACGCTTCCTGGAAAGCTTTTTCCCTCAATATTCACATTACTCACTCCCTCAGTTTCTTCAAGTATTAGCTCAACTATCAGCTCTCAGTGAGGCCTATATACACCACCCTATTTAAACTTCTGTACCGGGGTGCCTGGCTGGCTTGGTGGGTTGAAGCCTCTGCCTTCAGCTCAGGTCGTGATCCCGGGGTCCTGGGATTGAGCCCCGCATTGGGCTCTCTGCTTGGCAGGGAGCCTGCTCCCCTTCCTCTCTCTGCCTGCCTCTCTGCCTACTTGTGGTCTCTGTCTGTCAAATGGATAAATAAAATCTTTAAAAAAATAAAAAATAAATAAAAAATAAACTTCTGTACCTCCTCAGTTTGACCATGCACTCCTGATTTCCCACACACCGATCTATTTTTTTCACAGAACATATCATGACCTAATGTTCTGTACCCTTTACTTATTGCAACATTTACTGTTTGTATTCCCGCTGCAACAAGGATCCATGGGACTAAGGATATTTGTTTTATTCACTAATGTATCCTCATAGCCTGGCAAATACTAGGTTTGTAATAAATGATTGCTGAATGAAGAAAAAATGGAATGAGGAAGTGAGCTTAGAGAAGTCAATCATTTACTTAAGGACATGCAGCTAGCAGAGCCAGAACTCACACCAAGACCCACCACTCTTAACCACTATCCTCTACTGCCCAGTCACATACCTGACTCCTTCGTTGCCATTTTACGCCACCCAACCACACTTTTATTCACTTACTTGTTCAGCAAATATTTGAGCCCTTACTATGTTTCATGCACCATGCTTGGAATAGGGAATACGAAGGTAAGCAAAGTACGGGGCCTCTATTCTCAGGGCATTTGCAGTCTGGTACGGAAATTCAACAGTAAAATAACCTGATATGCGATCTGAGAGTAATGAGGAGACCTAATCCAGTCTGCAGGGACAGGATAGGCCTCCTTAAGGAAGTACTATCTCGAAGTTAAGCTAAAGGAGTTCATCATGTGAGGTACGCAGGGGGATTCCTGGGTTGAAAATTCAGTAAATGGTAGGAGAAAAAAAGAAAAATTCATAGGAAGGATTTAGAGAAGGAAGTGTGGCTAGAGACAAAAGCAAGGTGAATGTGTGTGAGGAGGCTGGGGAAGTTACAGGATTGTCAAGGGGATGATGACAACAACTCTGACTTCATTCTAAAGAGTGATGAATTTCTACCCAAATCTCTCAGACCCAACTGCATCCTCCCTGCTTCAGTAACACCCACCTGCCCACGCGAGGGCGCACGAGGCCATGGGACTTGATGAAGACACAGTCGCCAACCTTTAGCCACATATCATTATAATGGAGCTGCTCAAAGTAGTGGCAACCTGGTTCGCCATTTGACATTTCCACAGGGACATCTTCTTTCTCCTGTGGTAAAGGAAACTGGTTAAAGATAGGCAGCTGACAATCAAGGAGCAGACAGAGGAGGTTAAGAAAGGAAAGCTGACTTTCCTTCATATTAACTTAAAAGAAAAAACAACCATAAACAGAAGTTTAGATGAAGATCAGAAACCAAGATTGGGGTACTGAAACCAAACTAAGTCTTATTAAATACTGCATTTATTTTAAATTTACACTTAAGTCTTATAAAGTGTTACTTCAAGGGGTGCCTGAGTGGCTCAGTGGGTTAAGCCTCTGCCTTTGGCTCAGGTCATGATCTCAGTCCTGGGATCCAGCCCCGCATGGGGCTCCCTGCTCAGCAGGGAGCCTGCTTCCTCCTCTCTCTCTGCCTGCCTCTCTGCCTGCTTGTGATCTCTCTCGCTGTCAAACAAATAAATAAAATTTAAAAAAAAAATGATACTCTAGGATGCTTTTATTTTCCTCCCCCCACCCCGTTCCCACAGCCTTGCGGTGGGGGGCGGGGAGCACTGAAGAGGACATATCAGCATTCAGGAGCAGCCTCACTCACACACTGCTATGGGGGATAAGGAGTAAATTCTGCGCAAGGTGTCCCTTCACTACATTCACGGAGCTCTCAATTTCTTAGCATTAACAACTGATGGTTCTAAATGATAATTTAAAAAAATTTTTTAAATTGTCATTGTTTTGATTTATTCTGGAATAGAAAGGAATAGTATAGCCTCTGTGACATAAACACATACACTCTTTTTCTGAATAAATTACAAGGTCTGTCACCTCTTGGCTGCTGTGACACTGGGCAAATTATTTGACCTCTTAGGTCACCTGTAAAATGAAGGCAGTGCAACCATCAGATGGGGCTGTTAGGAATCCCCAATGACACATTCCATAGTTAAGTACACAGAACAATGCCTGACTTATGAAAAGCACTTGAACATCCATTCGTTATTGCTGTTTTATGGTTTTGGCAAAAAAAAAAAAAAAAAAAAAAGAAAGAAAGAAAAAGAAAAGAAAACAAGAGTCTGGGTGGCTTAGTTGGTTAAGCGTCTGACTTTGGCTGAGGTCATAATTGATCTCAGGGTCCTGGGATGGAGCTCCGTGTTGGACTCTGTGCTCAGCGGGGAGTTTGCTTCTCTCTCTGCCTCTGTCCCTCCCCCCACTCCTGAGAGCACTCTCAAATAAAAAGATATTAAAAAAAAAGGAAAAAGTTCTGATCTGATGCAGAAAGCGGGCACAGCATGAGGTGTTTTAAACATATTAACTCCAAAACGTATAAAAGCTGAGGAAACTATAGAACCCCAATATTTTCTACTGCATCTTCCTGAGAATATGTGAAACTTCAAACTGAAAAAAAAAATCTCCTTCAGAAGGTCCAAGTGATTTGTTTTAATCTTTGTTATGACTTCAAATGTGACATATAAATGGTCTTCTTGGAAAATAATACATATAATGGATGAGAGGAACCTGCAGGGAGTGGGGACTATGAAGTAGGCTCTGAAATTAAGAATAACTTTTTCTGGGCACCTGGGTGGCCCAGTCACTTAAGCATCTGCCTTCAGCTCAGGTCATGGTCCTGGGGTCCTGGGATTAAGGCCCACCTTGGGCTCCCTGCTCAGTGGAGAGACTGCTTTTCCCCTCCCTGACTCTCCTTACCTGTGCACTCTCTCTCTCTGTGTCAAATAATAAAATCTTGAAAAAAAAAAAAAAAAAACTTTTTCTTTTAGGAATGGGTTCTATTCTGAAGTTCTTTTTTTAAAATTTTTAAAAGTAATCTCTCTGCTCTACCTGCTGAAAGTATTCTTTTAAAAAGTTCCAGGAATCCAAAAAAAAAAAAAAAAAAAGTTCCAGGGATGACTTGTTTTGGCCAGGCAGTATTAAAATAAAGATGAGACAAAAGAAAAAAACAAAAACAAAAACGTGCACAGAGAGGACCCTGGAGACTTACAAATTCTAGTAAGAAATCTGTGTTAATTCCCATGTTGGCTTCCATTGGTATTTCTTATTCTTTCAAAATTAATGTCTCTATGATTCCCAACATATTGGTAAAGTGTAAAAAATATCATATTCTTTCCCAAGCTCCCTTTCTCTTGTAACACTGTTAGGACACTAAAATGGATTTCTTTTCTAAGACACAAAGAAGTCAATTTTTTCCATTTTTTATATTGACAACTTAAAAGCTTTATCTTCTGGGGAGCCTGGGTGGCTCAGTGGGTTAAGCCTCTGTCTTTGGCTCAGATCATGATCTCAGGGTCCTGGGATCAAGCCCCTCATCGGGCTCTCTGCTCAGTGGGGAGCCTGCTTCTCCCCGCGCCCCCCGCCTGCCTCTCTGCCTACTTGTGAACTCTGACAAATAAATAAATTAAAAAAAAAAAATCTAAAAAAAAAAAAAAGGCTTTATCTTTTTTGATTATATAAACGAAATGTATCTGTGGGCAACAATTCAAACATTAGAGCATGTAAAACTTAAAAGGCAATCTTCTGTGATCCAACCCCGGAGATAAACACCCTGTTCAGCACACAGCAGTTCTCCACATTGCTTTTACAGTCGTGCACACAGCAATTCTCCACATTGCTTTTACAGTCGTGCATGTAAACATACAGTTTGAGTTGTTTTGAATAATAATGGAACCAGATCCCATTCTGCCTTTAGTTATGAGCATGTTCTTACCACGTGACTTGGACAATCTTCTGTGTGCCATATATAGAGCTACCTCATTGTGCTTACTGGCTACAAAGTTTGCAAGCTATGGATGTCTGACACTTTACTCAACTCCTATTCATGGACATTTGGGTCTGGCCAAGGGTTTTTGTTTTTACAAATAACACTGATGGCGCCCCTTGTGGAGAAGCCTTCGGTGCACCTGAGTACTGAGTTGGACCACATTCCCTAGTATCAAATGGATGCTGGGTCAAGGGGAATGCCACGGATGGGAGAGAAGTGTCCTGCCTCACACCCACAGCAGGTGTTATCAGCATTAGCAATCTTCAGAACTCTTGCCAACCTGTCAGGCTTTTTAAAAAGTATTAGATTAACACATTTTCTTACTTTTTTGGGGCTGTCTCCCCTCTATAAAATGATCTATTTAGTCCTTTGCCATTTTCCTAGTGTCACTTCTTTCCCAGATTTCTAAAAGCTTTTTGCATTAAAAAAATGGTTGTCCTGAAAACTTTTCCCCCACTTTAATGCCTCCTGGGTTTCATATCATGTATAGAAAGGACTCACTCCAACCTTATAAATAAAGAATATAGGTAAATAATAATAAATCTGCCTATGTTAGCAACTGGTACTGTTTCTTTCATTTTGCTTTTGGTTTTGGTATTATTACTTTTTGGAATATGACGTGAATGAGAGTTCAGATGGCTTCTTTTCTTCTTTTTCAAATGGCTACCAGTTTTCCCAGTATCATTTGATTCCATCCTTCCTGCTGATTTAAAATACTACCTTTATATACTGGATTTTAACTGTGAAAAGTCTATTCCTTCCACTGACTGGAATACCTCAAGTTTTTATAAATACAAAATATACAGGGTCTCCTGGCTGGCTCAGCTGCAAGAGCATGCAATTCTTGATCTTGGGGTCATGAGTTCAAGCCTCATGTTTGGATACAGAGATTAGCTAAATAAAGAAAACTTTTATATATGGGCACCTGGGTGGCTCAGTGGGTTAAGCCTCTGCCTTTGGCTCCAGTCATGATCTTAGGGTTCTGGGATCGAGTCCCGCATTGGGCTCTCTGCTCAGCAGAGAGAAGGCAGGGAGCCTGCTTTTCCCCAACCCCTGCCTGCCTCTCTGCCTACCTGTGATATCTCTCTGTCAAATAAATAAAATCTTTAAAAAAAAACAAAAAAAATATGTTTTGTTTTATATATATATATATATATATATACAGAATAACACCTGGCAAGGCAAAGCACTTTGATTACTATTTTCCTCCTTCTTCTCCTGGTGACTGCTGCATGTTTATTCTTACATGAGAAAGCCAGAATAATTCTGTCAAATTCTTTTTTTTTCTTCCAAGATTTTATTTATTTGAGAGAGAGAGAGCAAGTGAGTGTGCATGAGTGGTGGGAAGGTGCAGGAAGGGAGGGAAAAGCAGATTCCCTGCTGAGCAGGGAGCCCAACACTCGATCCCAGGACCTGAGATCATGACCCTGAGCTGAAGTCAGACACTTAACCAACTGAGCCACCCAGACACCCCATTTCGTCAAGTTCTGAAAAAAATTTATCCAAGTCTTTTATGTCCGTGAGTAGACGGTTTCTCTTCCCATAAGTTCCAAATATTCCTTTCAAGGTTATTTCTTAATGTATTTTGTTAAGGTGAATCAGATATTTTCTTCTACATGATTTTCCTAATAGTTGCTAAAGTATATTCAACATTTTCACCTTTCTTTCAAAACTCTTGTGGATTATTGTTTTATGTAAGAAAGCTATTGACTTGTATACGGATTTTGAAATCTCTATTTGTTGAATTGTTTTTCAAAACTAGCTAATTGCTCCCCCATGATCTGCAAAAAGGTTTTGCCACTTAACTTGTCAATATTTTTACTATTTTTGTTTGTCTTCATTGGCTACTTTCAGAAAAATATAGATAATAGTAGAGCAAGCAGGCTTTAGTCATGAGAAACAAACATAACTTTAAAAAATAGCTTTGAGGAAATACCCGTCTAAAACTTAAATGAAGACAGTTACTATACTTTATCAAATAATTTCTCCTTTGATCTAATAATATAATGAAGTGTATTACTAAATTTTCCTAATTTTGACCAACTCCTGCATTTCTAGAATGAACTCCCACCACTAGGTCATATTGTTCTTAAGTAACTAACTTGGTTTCACTTATAAATAAAAATACACTTTCTCCAAGAATTTTCTGCATCAACATTCATCCGTTAGGCTCAATTGCAGCTGTTCTGTTTTAATTTTGTCAGGCTTTGGAATTAAGGTTATTCTGGTTTTGTAAAATAAACTGGGAAGTCTTCTTTGTTCTCCATGCTTTGAAATAATTTTAACAGTACTATAACTATAGGTCTCTTAAAGGGTTAAAAGAATTCACCCATGGAATTATCTGACCTGAGTACTCTGATTAGCTCTCAGAACATTTTTGAAAAATTTCTTCTTGTTGTCCACTTATGTGTTACCCCTCTTCTTGATTCTTTAGTAATTTATAGTGTCCTAGAAAATTATTCATTTTATTCAGGCTTTCAAATTTATTAATAGAAATGTGTAAGTCTTTAAATTTCTTCCCCATTTGTATGTCTGAGCTTAACTGCCTTCTTTTTTTATTAGGATAGTTGACAGTATATCTCATTGGACTTGTCCAAGGATCAGCACTTGGATTTAGTTTTAAATTCTATTTTTTAATTCTACTGTTGTTTCCTAAGCATTAATTTCTGTCCTATAGCTCCCTTCTGTTTGGCTAAGGTTTTATGTTGTTACTCTTTTTCATTCCGCATTTGAATACTTTATTCATTTATTTTCTGGAACAGGTATTTTGAAATGCAAAATCCTTTTCTGTATGGCTTTTAACTACATACCTTTTCCAAGTTAAAATTGTCTTCAGTTCGACTGTCCTCTGAGTTGTCTGTGTTCTTCTCGTCATCTCCTTTATCTGCATTTGCAAATACAGACGCCACTCGGACCACAGGCAAGGGCACATCCCGAGGGACAAACCTCACTGAACTGATGGGCATGGTCCACAGTTTAATTTTCTTAAAAGATTTGGTTTTGGCAGAATACCGTGATTCGCAGACAAAAACATCCTCATCTCGAAAGTTTTCTGGGCATAATTTGAAGTATTCCTGGGAGATATAAGAATAAGATTATTAGAGGGCGCCTGGGTGGCTCAGTGGGTTGAGCCGCTGCCTTCGGCTCAGGTCATGATCTCAGGGTCCTGGGATCGAGTCCCGCATCGGGCTCTCTGCTCAGCAGGGAGCCTGCTTCCCTCTCTCTCTCTCTCTGCCTGCCTCTCTGTCTACTTATGATCTCTCTCTGTCAAATAATAAATAAAATTAAAAAAAAAAAAAGAATAAGATTATTAGTTAGGTGAATGTTCTGGAAACCAGTCAACCAAAAAAACCAAAACCACACATCAATCAAGCAAACACTAACCTGTTAAGACTTTCTGACAGTTAACAACAAACAGTAAATGGTTAGCAATGTACAAGCCTCTCCCTGCTACAGAAGGGCCTTATTAAATATATACCCTTTAGCTTACCAACTACCTTTTTGAAAATATATTAGCATTTCACACAGCTATAATGTTCCTAAAAGCTTTGGGCAGGGCTTAATGTGCCTGTATCAGATAAATACACAAAAGGTATACTTTATTACCTAAAAAGCACACTGACAGTTTTTAATGATCTTTCAGAAAACGTCATCCTCAAAAATTAGCCTGGTAGTATAAAAAAATTTAAGCGAACTGCATACAGTTATACAGTGTAGGCAAGCAAATGGTGGTATTTCATCATCATGATCAGATTAATTTCCTCCTAAATCTTTACACAATGGCATATAGACACAGCTTTAAAAAATTTCAAATTTTAAAAGAAAGGGTCTGATTTATAAATATGACTTTTTTGTGTTTGTAAATTTTATTTTCATGGAATGATTTGTACTTTGGAGACTAAGGAGTTTCTTACCTTGACAAACATGACCACACATTTTCCTAGAATTTTACTAACAGGAACTTTATTATAATAGTCACTCTTAAAAACTTCTTTTTCTAGAAATTTCCGTGTAGCCAGATGGAATGTTTCATTTGGCCGATAAAACCAACAGCCATATAACCATTTTTCACCTCAAAACAAAAAGGGAGACAGAGAGGAAATTACCATTAATAGAAATCACACATTCTTGCAAAATGAGCAAAATCTCCATCCATTCTGCCATGGCCTGAACAATGTGCTTTTTAGGCCACAGTGTCTTAAAATCGTTATCTTGGAAGAAACGATACTCTCAAGTAATGACGCATAACAAGGCCTAAAAAATGCTACGTTCCCCCTCATACTAAAGGATGTATAATATATAGGATGAAGAAGGCGGTGAGACCTGCCCTAGTCTGCTGGGGCCAGGACACACTCCAGACTGCGCTTTGGTAAGGACAGAGCATCCAAAGCATAGAAGGGATGCAGTGAGCACTCAGGAGAAGGAAGACAAAGGTATCTCACGAGGAGCAGCTGAGGGAACTGGACTGCCTCAGATCACGTTTCTGTCTGCTTCTGGCTTCATTAACTCCTATTTGTTCTCCCTGTTTTACGTGAAAGGCAACTGTTCTAGGACGCCTTTTTGAAATCAAATTCTAAGCCAAGACACATGTCACACTATAATAATTTCATTTTTATTTGTGATTTGTACCGAAGTGGTTCTGCCAGGGGTAAAACACGAGCCTTTAGTTCTTGTGAGGCTCTGCCATCCCACAGTCTGGCTTACTGTGTGTTTTTAAGAAATAGCAGCAGTTAAGTGAATGAATCTCAACCTCACTTCAGGAAGCTGCATTTCCTTTGACTCAACTGTGCCACTCAGGAGAGTGCTAGATCCGACGTTTTTCACATAGCAGGTGCTTACTTCTATTTACCGATACAATGTAGAACTACTACTGTTGCAAGGCATAATTGTCTGAGTTACAATTTTCTTCCCTGGGGACCAAGGATGAGTAAAACAGTCCCAGCTCACCAATCTGCCCTTTGATTTAAAACGAACTTACCAGCAGAATCTTCCCAAAGCCTCTCAATGCAGACGATGTGTGGCTGCAGGCTGGCCTCTGCGGGCTCCACGTAGACGTAGTCTCCAACATGGTACATGCTGTTCTTAAAGCTGCAGTCCTGGCTGTACGTGCGGTGTAAGCCGGAGAGGCCTGCGGCGCCTGAGGAGTCTTCACTCTTTTCAGCTTCTTCGGTGAAAAAGACAAAAAGGTTCCCATTAAGGGGATGTGGGGATCAGATGTAGGATTCAAACAACATGTACTAATATGTTTCATTCTTTCCTAGACCTTCAAGGGCAGGATTCAGGACAAACGGCATGAGATCTGTATTCCCAAGAGCCTTTACACAAACTTGCCTTTTTGAGTTATAACCAACTGTCATTAATTTAAGTAAATGCACAAATAAACAAAGGACCTACACAATTAAAATAACCATGTTAATACTATATGCTCAGTGTGTCATTCTGGATAATAAAGAAAGGTATAAAGAAGAAAACAGCTTACCCGTAAATCATGCAGTCCTGGAAAAAATCTCATATGTACTTCCCTTCTATCAATGCCTCTGAAAATTTTTCCCCCAATAGTTATTATGTGGGTGTGTCAAAATGGAATCTTAGAGTTGAAAAAAATATGGAATATGCATATCATACAATATAAGGTAAACTATGTATGTCTACACTGAAGATACACTGAACAGGAGCACCTGCCTGGCTTAGTCAGAAGAACATGTGACTCTTGATCCTGGGGTCATGAGTTCGAGGCACATTTTGGGGATAGAGAGTACTTAAAATAAACAAGTAAATAATAATAACAATGATAAAAAGATACACTGAGCAGTTCCCAAGATTAATGCTCTTCAATAAGACTTATTTTTGCTAAGTAATATTTTTTTGATGGCTACTATACAAGCCATCATTTGCAAATACCATAGGATTTTTTTTTTCTTTTTTAGATTTTATTTTTGAGTAATCTCTACAGTCAACATGGGGCTTGAATTCACAACCCCGAGATCGAGAGTGGCATGATCCATTGACTGAGCCAACCAGGAGACACCCCAGTGTTTTGTGCTTTTGAGGATAAAGCTTTGCTCACAAAGCTTTATCCTTATGATAATTTCCTATAAATGCAACAGCTGGAAATAAGCATTTTAAATGCTTTTTAAAAAAGATTTATTTACTTGACTAAGAGAGAGAGACAGTGAGAAAGAGAGAGCACCAAGCAAGGGGGAGAAGAGGGAGAGGAAGAAGCAGGCTCCCAGCTGAGCAGGGAGCCTGACAAGGACTCAATCCCGGGACCCCTGGATCATGATATGAGCTAAAGGCAGATGCTTAACTGACTGAGCCACCCAGGTGCCCCTTAAACGTTTTTTAAAATGCATATTCAAACCAACCCCAAAAGTCTATACCAATTTTATACTGTCTGGCCACAAGCGTCTGTTTCTCCATTCTTGCTCCAACACTCCTATTATAATTATTTAAAAATTATTTTATTTGAAAGAGAGGGAGCACAAGTGGGGGGAGGGGCAGAGGGCGAGGGAGAAACAGACGCCCTGCTGAGCAGGGAGCCTGATGTGGGGCTCAATCCCAAGATCCCAGGATCATGACCTAAGACAAAGACAGACATTTAACTGACTGAGCCACCTAGGTGGCCCCACATCATTTCTAAAAAGTTTTGCCAATTTTGGTGGAAAATGTTATCTAGTATTTGATTAGTCAAATGAATCCCTATAAGATACACAAGAGATTCACAAGATTCTTGAGATTATATACCAGCAGGAACATGGTGAACTGAACTGAAAGGTACAGAGACAGTACAAAATGAAAGAGTGTTAGTTAAACCCCCAAAATTCTAGAGACAGGAAACAGGCTGATAAAAGTGCTCACCTGCAAACATATGCTACCTTTCATGAAAAAAGATGATGCAGAGGGCAGAGTGCTGAGCCACAGAGGAGTATTTCTAATGACTCTGCCCAGCTGGATTTCAAGATTGCTTGGAACTAAAGACTCCTTCCATTTCTCCCTTTCTGAATGAGAATGTCCCTCATTAACCCATGCAATGTGCCGACACTATGTTATAGGAGCAAAGAACTTGTTTTTTAGTTTCATAGGTCCACAGATGGAGAGGAATTGTGTCCCAGGAGAGATCATACCCATCTATACGCATTTAAATGATTTAGATAATAAGATTTAGGACTTTTGAGCACATAAAGCTGATAATATTTAGATGAGATTCTGATACCTGGTAGAGGGGTGTTACTGCAACATACACCTAAAAAATAGGGAAGTGACTTTGGAATTGGACAAGAACAGAGACCAGAAGAATTCTGAGAAGAGAAAAACCCTCTGCAGCCTTGAATAGACTGGCAGAGAAATGGACCTTAAGGACTTGGCAGTAGAAGGCACAAGTGGAAATGAAGAAAATGTTGCTGGAAAGGAGATCCTTGTTACATACTGGCAGAAAGCCTGGCAGAACTGTGCCCTGCGATCACTTGGATTCTAACTAAGCCTCTTGGGCTGATCTCTTTGTTATCTTTCTCCTTCTCTGTTTGTTGTTCCATTGCCTCTGAGCTTTCTTCTTCATCTGCTAATCCTTCTCTAAATGTTTCCTTTCTGCCGTCATTAAAAACATTTTAAAACTGAATGACTTTGACCTATAACTGTGTCAACTTAAGTTATACCACCAGTTACTTTGATACATTAATATATATTTAGCAAAATGCTTAAAAAAAAAAAAAAACTGGCTATAAGTTCTCTATGTACAGTTTTCTCCCCCTTGCCAGACCCATCCCTCAAAAGAAAAATCTGTCCATAAGCGTGACTGCTGGCATGCCAGAGCTAACAAGTTTAAAGGGCAAGGGGTCTCACAACTTAGAATACATCCTCTCAGAACTGTACCTCTAGCCTTTCAGACAGCTGCTGTCTCTTGGTCTAGACACTTTAGGGCAATCACCGAAAGGGTTGGGGAAGGGAACAGAGGTTCAACTCCTTTAAATGTAGACTTTCAGCTGTTTTCACACCTCCATCTGCGGGCGTAGCTGGTGCGGATGGCTTTCAACTGCAGGCCTACTACTCTTCTTCATCAGATGCTGGCAGGGAAGCCAGTGTCGGCAACTTACCAAACTCTCATTGCCACCATCTCCTTCTCCGTTGCTTTCCTTCTCTCTCTCTCTCTCTCTTCTTCTTCTTCTTTTTTTTTTTTTTTGGAGGAGGGGAATGGTTTACATTTATGTCTTTTGTTTTGCTTTAAAATCCCCTTTCCATCATCTTAGAGGTGTTTTGGGATGTACTAGCAGTAGGCATCTGTACAGTCTGCCACGTTAAAGTGAAAGGCCTCCATGTTCTCTTACCTTTGCTTACTTCCCCTTGTATGAGTGGTTAGTTTTGACATTTCATACAAAAACAGGGTGTGTGAGATCTTCTAGTTTCCCTTAATTTCCATCATTATTAAGACACCTCTTCTTACGGCTTAAAGACATAGAGGGCTGATTGACATATACAACCACTATCCTACTTTCTGGTGGTTTGCTGTCTTTTCAATATTCATTGAGTTACCTGACACAGGGTGATCTGAAGTAGACTATGGTCCTCTCGTGGCTAGTTACAATAAGCCTCTGGGTCCCCCTTCCTTATCAGTCCTTCTAGTGCTGACTTCACATTGTATGGCAAAGCACCACTTCTTACCTACTTCCAGTCCCACCACTGGGAAATATAGTCCCTGAGCTGATGTTTAAAAAACATCAACACAGGGGCACCTAGGTGGCTCAGTGGGTTAAAGCCTTTGCCTTCGGCTCAGGTCATGATCCCAGGGTCCTGGAATCGAGCCCTATGTCGGGCTCTCTGCTCAGTAGGGAGCCTGCTTCCTTCCTCTCTCTTTCTCTGCCTGCCTCTCTTGCCTACTTGTGATCTCTGTCAAATAAATAAATAAAATCTTAAAAAAAAAAAAACAAAAAAACCCAGTGTTAACAGGGCTGCTCTTGGCAGCCTTAGAAAGCAGCTCTGTGCAGCAGGGCTCCCTTTCCTCCTGTCAGCAAAGGCCTGCAGGCTCCTGAGACAGGCACAGCAATGGGAAAGGAATGAACATCTCCTACTGTGTTTTTTCTTTATGCGGCTCTGTTTTTCTATCACAAGCCTTTTTCACAGATTAAGTCGCTGGAAATATTTCCTCGTGACAAAGGATCAGTCAAGGGCAGTGACCAACAGTTTTTAAAATGTCAGTACCAAGGCTGCCTAGTGGGTTCACGTATCATTGCTAATTCACCAAGAAGCAAGACAGCAGGTACTGTCATAAGCTCCTGCTCCTCCGCTAGAGCTAAAGCCTTAGAGCAGCGATTCCCACAACTGAGTGTGCATCAGAACCACCTACACGACTTGTTAAAACATAGACTGTTGGGTCCCACCCTCCGAGTTTCTGAACTGATAGGTCTGGAGTGGGACTAGAGAATTTTCATTTCTTTTTTTTAAGTAGGTGCCACGCCCAGCACGGAGCCCAAAGTGGGGGCCTGAAAGCTAACAACCCTGAAATCAAGACCTGAGCTGAGATCAAGACTTGAACTGAGATCAAAAGCCTGAGAATTTGCATTCCTCATCAGTTCTCAGGTGATGCTGATGCTGTTTGCCTAGAGGCCACATTTTCAGAACAGTCTTACAGTAATTCAAGAAGCAGCTGTTACTAATTTTGCATTGCCAAGAAGTGTCAATAAAACTTAAAAAAAAAAAAAAAAGCCTAAGTATACAAAATTTTGTCAGTAGAAACAACATGGATTGTCCCAAATGTCATACCCATTATGGCACTGGCATTTTCTGTTTCCTCTTTCACTGATTTCCATCCTGATTTTTATTATTTCCTCTACTTACTTCAGGTTTGATTGGCTTTTTTTCCCCTAACTTCTTGAGGTGGAAACATACCTATTTTAGATCTTTACTCCTTTCAACATATGTATTTAAAGTTATAAATTTCTTCCTATGAACTGCTTTAGATATATCCCATAAATTTTAACATATCATTTTCATTAATTTAATACATTTAATTAATAATTAAATACATTTCATACATTGCATTCCATTCAAGATTTTTCTAATTGTTCTTGTAACATCTTTGATCCATGGGTTAGAGGTGAACCACTTCATTTCCAAATATTTGGGGATTCTCCAGATTTCTTTCTGTTGCTAATTTCTAGTCTAAATCCCATT